ACGTGGTTCCTGCAGAACGTCTGTATCTTAACGTGGTTCCTGCAGAATGTCTGTATCTTAACGTGGTTCCTGCAGAACGTCTGTTTGTTTTGCGCGCGCTCACTCCTCGCTGACGCCGTGCTCCCACGCCACTTTAGCTTGCTCCTCCTTGGTCGCAGCGATTATGGGCTGGGAGATCTTCCTCGGCATGGGTCGGGGTGCAGGAGGGGCCGGAGGTCCAGATTGTGTAATCAGGGGGTCCTCCTCAGGGATGCAGCCCTCTCTGAGGTAGGGTTTTGGGGGCAGGGCTGGAGGGGGCTCGTGGAGGTGGTAGAGAGGTGGATTGTGGGGGATGTAGTGTGGGTGGAAGTGGTGGTGGTAGAAGTGATGCTGCTGCTGCAGCCCGTCCAGCTGGGACTGTGGAGCTCCAACGCTGCCCAAAGCTGGAATCTGGACTTGACCCCCCACCTGGGCTGGGTTGACCCCTCCAGGGGCGGAGAGGCTGCGGCAGGGTGGGGGTTTGACTCCGTCCAGGACGTCTGGCTCAGACATGCTGTACCTGACGGGCTGATAGAGAGAGTCCAGGTCTTCCTGGTCGGTGGTCCAGGCCTGGCTGCTCGGGACGGACTCCAGAGTGTTGGTCTGGCTGGCTGGGGGGTCCGAGGAGGCGGTGGGGCAGCCAAAGTTACTCTCACTCAGAGAAGAGACCCCGGAGCTGGCGCTGCCGGACAAGGTGGAGTTACTGCCATCCAGGATGGACTGAGGACTGGTGGGCGAGGCAGGTATAGGGTGCAGGGGAGACTGTGGGAGGAAGGGGGAGACGGGACATTTAGACACATATTCATGTTTACATACTCAGCCATAGCTAAGATTAAATTTAAATATGTTTTCATTAGTGTGAATATAACGGATAAAATAATCTGCTCAACATGAGACAACTTGTTAAGAACTAACACAAAAATGTGACAAAATTAAGTACCGCTAATCATTACAGTATGAACATTTGCTCTTTTTGATTGAGTAAAAAAATAAAACCACATGGCACTCCTTTTAAGTGTTTTTGAAAATAGTGTATAGAAAAAAAAAAACTAGCATGTTTTATGTGCAGTAAATAAAATTGGCTACAAAATAGGAACTGGACACAAAGACTGAAACTAAACAGATAAAAATGATCAGAAAACAGGAGAAGTACAGGAAGTCCCAGGGGTCGTGGGTAAAAACAATACATATATTTAAGGTCATAAGAAATCTCATTTTAGGAAAGTGCATGTTCAGTTTGCATTAATATTAGTGTGCGGCCGGTGTTGCATTTATTTTTGTTTTCAGTTTGGACGGGGGACACGCAAAAATGCAACACTGGAACTGAGACCAGGGTTAATTTAGGGATTGCCAACAAAGTGCAAACTCATAGAGTTTTGTTAAATAGCAATATAACTCAAATTTCATATCCAATATCATTCCAGTTTGTATAATTTTAGACATTTACTATTGTCGTGTTTTTTTGATGACGGTTCCTAAATGCTTGTCTGACTCAGAGTTTTCTCATTTTCATTAAAAGCTGCTGCAAAAATGTTTGTCATTTTGATGTTTTGTTTAGTATTTAATGAACCTGGAAATAAAAAATGTCTATTTTTTTATAATGCTCCTGAACCCAAACAAAGTTTGCTTTCTTTCAAACTAAATAATGTCCGTTAGTAAATCCAGGCGCACGAATTATTAAACTGGATTCTTATGACCTTTTATCTCCGACCAGTTCCCCTGGAGTCCCTGCAGTTAATTATTTATTTCACATCATCAGTGACCTCTGAACTGTTAACTGTGACTCAGAACATTTAGGATTTTTTTTTTTATGTAAATGCACATGTGTTCAGTTACTTTCTTCCTAGAAGAAGTAACTTAGTTTTCAAGCGTTTGATCCAAAATGTGAGTCAAAGTTACTCCGAGATGAAAACTTGTAGTGAACTGACCTGTTGGCAGGAACAGGAGAAAAAACTAATGAGTACCACAATAAAGATAGAAATGTGTTGTTGAGGAGTGCAGACAGACAGACAGACAACCAAGCATCCAGACTAACAGCAGGAACAAGGAGGAGGAGGAGGAGGGTACCTTTCTTAAGGAGCGCGCGGGGAGAGCTGGAGGGAGGTCGCTGACCTGGTGGTGGAAAGCATCAAAGTGCATCGACAGGTGTTGCCCTACAGGGGGAGACACAGCAGGACTGACTGAGAGATCCACTCACATCTCAGAGGAGGAGGAGGAGGAAAGATGGAAGGAGAAGAAGAAAAGATAAAGGGAGGAGAAAGAGAGCAGAGGGTGCAGGAGGAGGAGGAACACGGGATAAAGAAGCGGTACGCCGACTGTCCCCCATCGATGAAGGATTTAGATAATGAACGTTTGGAGTTTTCAAGATGAGTGTTTTTCTGGACCAAAATTTAAAAGGGAATGTAAGTAAACCTAAATGATGTTGGTGCAAGATACTCAAGTTGTTAAGAGTTACTGGTACGCTGTGTCTAAGGAGTTACTGGTACGCTGTGTCT